CGCACGCACGCACGCACGCTCTGCCCCCCTCTGCGTGGCCGGGTCTGACGCTTGCTTCCAATCGTAATGTGTCGCGCGCAATCGTGTCGAAGTGCGTTTAGCAGAAACATTCAAGCGAGACTGCTACGCGAAAAACAACAACAATACAGCTTTTGCACACGCAAGCAAGCTCCAAATCACGCAAATGACGAGCAACGCGGGATGAGACCAGTCATGACATTAGAGAAGGAGAGGAAGATGGGGGGGTCAAAGGTCCAAGGGTCGTCTACTTGAATTGAGACTCGCTGTTGTAACCGCCCATGGCTGCCGTGCTGGAGATGCCGCCTATTTGCAAAAATAAAGGAGAGTGCACGAATGAGCGACTGGTCTTCCCATCACACCAAGACACTGCGCGCGCGCCAAACTTACCAGTGACGGTCTTGAGCAGGTTGTCGACGTATTCCGCACCGGACCACTTTTGGTGAGTGAGAACATCGCAGCCAATCTCCCTCTCTCTTCGCTGGACGAGCTCGACGTAGGCCTTCATTCCTTCGGTGGAGAAGCCCTTTGCAAAGTGGTCGGAAATGTAGGCGTTGGAGTGCAGACCGGCCAGAGTGATGAATTGCCAGACGAAACCCAGCTTGCCCAGCTCCCAGACATAAGACTTCATCTGGTCCGTGTTCAGCTTGGCAGCGTCCCAGTTGAAGGAAGGGGAGAGGTTGTAGGCCAGCCATTGTCCTGGAACAGCGCTGCGAACTCCCTCGGCAAACTCCTTGGCTTGAGCGAGGATGGGAGACTTGGTCTCCATCCAGATCAAGTCAGAGTGAGGAGCAAAAGCAATGGCACGGTTGACGGCGCACTGTGTTCCTCCTTGGTACTGGTAGTAGCCCTCGCGGGTACGAGGTCCGTCCCAGTCCCAGAAGAAGCTGTGTCCGTCGATTCCGTGCTTGGTGGCGATTTGACGCGCGACCTTATTCGACTTTCCGGAAGCCTCGGCGAGGAAAGCTTCGGCATTTCCTCCGCGCTTCTTCAGCTCTTCCGCAACGGCAGTAGAGAAGAGCTTCAAGTCGGCAGCTGCGGTCCATTCGGCCTCGATGGCACCGAGCGCATCGCCGCTCTTGCCTTCTGCCTCTGCCTTTGTGAGGACATCGACGAGAGGAGGAAGGGCAGAGTTGGTGGTGCCCAGAATGAAGCTGTGGTCGCGCTCATCGACGTTGGTGGTGATGAGGGTAGCAGCCTCGGAGTCGGTACGAGCAACGACGAGGTTCTCGACGCCCATAATGTCGTACTGGAGACGAATGGCGACCAGACGATTGATGTGCTCAGAGATTGGCACCAACACCTTTCCGGCCATGTGACCGCACTTTTTGGTGCCTGGAGCTTGATCCTCAATGTGGATCCCTGCTGCACCCTTTTCGACAAAGAGCTTCGTCAGCTTCATCACGGCAGTCAGACCACCATGACCAGTGTCGGCATCAGCGACAATAGGGCGCAGATAGTCGACGTAAGGAACCTTGGCGCGATCAGCAGGAGCGAGACCTGCACGGCTCTCGCGCTGCTTGCGATCGTGGAAGAGCTGAGCCTGGAACAGGTGCTCGACCTTGAGAGGCACAGTGTTGTAGGGGT